TTATTAATACCTTTTGTTCTAAATTAACTATTCTCTTGTGTAACTAAGTATTGTTCTCAGTTTTCCAAAATCTATCACAAATAAGTAGGCTAACTGTATCCACTTTTCAAACCGCATTGATTGTATTATAAAAAGACTTATTATGAGCTCTACTCCATTTTTCCCCAAATAATTATCTGTCTTTATTTGAAAGATGCAAGGAACTTTAATAAATATATACACTTCTGAAATAGATGCCTAATCTGGTGGAGGCTATTGAAATTGAGTAATACATTTTAAAATATATGGTTAATTATAAATGAAATGATAAATTAACTCATTTGTTTAGCAAACATCTATTTATACATATATGATGAAGTATGCCACCTCTAAGTTATGCGATTATACTTTAAATATTAATTATGCATTGTTTTAATTTTATAATGAATATTAATTACTACACAGAAATCTTATAATATGCATGATCTAACATGGAAATAGTAATAACAATAGTACTTATAAACTACAATATAATGGCAATAATATTATCTTGGTTATAAAGTTTCTATACTGCTGGTTTGATTTTTGAAAAACTTTGTATTATAAAATGAATGCTAGTAAATGAAAATTTTTCTCTGAAATTCATTATTACTAAAAATGGAAATTTATTTTTTCCCTCAAGTTGAGGGTTCACATTTCTATATTTTTCATGCTTCTATATTTTTCCAATGTAAGCAATTAAAAATCTCCATAATGGACCAGTAGAGGAACGTGGTGTGATTGAATAAGAGATTCTTATACAAGTTGACCTTGACCAATGTTCTGTCAAAAAATAATACATTTTAAAGAGACTCAGAATTGTTTTTAGTGATTCAAAAGTTTTTCTGACTCTTCTGTCTTCTGGTTCATTCCTCAGTTGGACACAGCAGTGAAGTTTTGCAAATCTGAAACCTAGAGCTAGGAACTCCCATCTGCATCTCTCATGTGGGTCGCAGGTACCCAGGTATTTGAGTCATTTTCTGCTGCTCTTCCAGGTGCATTAGCAGGGAGCTGAATTAGAAGTTGAAGTGCCAGGCCTCAGACGGGCACTCTGATATAGGATGTGGTGTCGCAAGAGTTGGCTTAACCCATTGCGTCAAAATGTTGGCTCTGCGCAGTCCATTACAACTTCCCAATGTAAAAGTTTTCCTAAGTCTGAAATATCCACCATTTTCAGTGTATGAGTTTCTAGTGAGTCTGACTCCAGTTTTTTTTTTTTTTTCTTTAGAGGTAATTCCTACAACAAACACTCATCATTTATCCAGTTTCATGAGTATCAGTAGAACCTGCTGCTTCTGGTAAAGTATGTAAACACTCCTCACATGTGTATTTGTATCATTGGACATTCATCCAACATTAAGGAAAAACAAAACCAACCAAAACTGACTAGGAAGTGTGCAGGTTTGGCTCTATCATTTGCCTGCTTCATTACTTGCAATTACATGTCTCCTTTTGCTTTCAATATAGTTCTTGCATATTAAGTCATATAAATAAGGCTATGCTGACTTTGCAATCTTTGGGAACACATACCAGAATCATTATTTTTTTTTTTATTTTGTATTCAGATAAGTTGGGGGCATCTTTTGTTTATTTGTATGTTTAATTTTTTAGTATTTATTTAATTATTTATTTGAAAGATTTACAGAGAGTGAGAAAGAGAGAGGGAGAGATAGACTTCCATCTGCTAGTACACTCCCCAAGTACTTGAGCCATCTTTTGCTGCTTTCCCAGGTGCATTAACAGGGAGCTGGATTGGAAGTGGAGCAGCCAGGACATGAACTGGCCCCCATATAGGATGTCAGTGCCTCAGGTGGAGGCAATACTCACTACGCCACACCTGTATGATTTGTGTTTAATGCAGAAAACTAAACAGCTTGTTAATACTAATATTTGACATCTTCTTCAATGTAATTCCTTTTCATTATCTCCAAAATAAGGCTTTAGTATTTTTCATTTCAAATCTCTTTGGAATATATAATATCCAATTTTAAAATTTTTGAATGATTTGAGTTGATTCTTAAAACCCAATTATGTTTTTATACTTCTCAATTTAGTGTTATCTATAACATTCATATAGTCTCAATTCTTAGTGTCATCCAATTTTATCACATGTGCAAAATATCATACGCCTCTCTGAATGCTGAATAATGTCTGCATGAAAAAACAAAAAATTGAGCACAATTCAGGTATTTCAGGAGCTCCATTGTCAAAGTCAATGACGCCAGAGAAAGTTTACAACTTATAAAGCATGTTGATACCGCAGGGATATATTGGGGTAAGTGTTCACTCCTTATTTTGCATAAATACATATGGAAACTCACAAATGCTGGACTGAAATTGAGTGATTGAGAGATTGAGGTTCTCAGATCACAGGGCATATTTGCTCATCTTTAGCAGTAGGAACTCCGTGCAAGCGCATATCACAAAGCTCTTCCTGACAGTTTGTGCAGTTTCAATTTGCTCCAGCTGGCAATGGGAAGAATCCCATAGGCAGCACAGACAGGGTTTCAAAGGGCCCAAATGCCATCACCTCTCAGGTGTCCTCTCTCACCTCTGCTTGGGTTCATTTCCCTTTATCTCTGAGACACAGACACCACCTCACCTATGACATCTGACAGAAACCAAAACAGACCGAAAAAAGAAAAACAGATGTTGACACCTGAACTTGTGAGTCATGTTTTCCACTGCGCTCAAAAGGCTGTCAATTTGTTAGAATGCCCATTTAGTTAGCCTTACATGTGCTGGCTGATAGTCAAAGGACAGTTACCACTCAATTCTTAGCAATAATATGGGTCAATGATCTTTCATTCACTAGTACTCAAATTGAGCTGTTTTGCTTTATCAGCCTGTTTTGGTCTTGAAATTCCATGACTGTTTGGGAAATTTTGTCTAAGGCATACTTCTTTTAGGCAAAGAGTATTTATCCTGTCACATATTATAGCTACTGATCTACAGTTGATGGCATAGGTCCAAAATTTCATTGTCAATTTTCATCTGGCTTTGATTCTCTATTGTTTGAATTTCATCTCAATTATTGGTTCAGGGAAAGCCCTTTGTATCCTGTTTTATACTTCCAAGGGAGTATAACTTATATTTTTCAATATAAGAACAGAATATGCAGAACCACAAGAATCTTAAAGAAATCATGTTGTTCTTTCTCCGAAAGTTTTTGTCACACTGTATTACACAATACTGTACATAAAATTGTGCAAAACAATTGAGTTTCTGTAAGGTGTTTTTTTTTCATTTATAAATAATACTTCTTGGACATTTTTCTCTTTCCATATACCCCTGCATAACATGTGCTAAATTTTCTTGCTTGTTTGCTGGCTTTCTTTTCTGTAAAACATTCAAATTTTACTTTATTGTGATGCTTAGAGTTATACCCTCATTCTACATTTTATTCTACATTCTATTTTATAGTCTCCACATCTGCTACCTTTAGAAATCCAAGTTGTATTATTGTGTTTTGAACTATACACATCAACTAAATCAGTCCACAGTTCTGAGCATACAGCATGGGACACAAACAAGTATAAAGCAGATTTTTTGCCTTCATGTCAAGACAAGAATAAAAATAACGAGCATAAAAAGTGGCAGAGGACAAGACATGGCAAATTTATCCGAGAGAGAAAGAGAGACAGACAGACAGACAGACAGAGAGAAATGCTAGGAGTTACAGAGAAGAACACATTTCTGTGATTTGAAGTTCTCAGTGGGAGTGGAGGTGAAGCACCAAGAGAAGATAAGTAAAAATGAAGATTTTAAAAAATACACATTTAGAGTGGATCAGGTTATACTGGCCAGCTGGGGAGCTAAGACATAAGAAAGTTGCTCCCTAGAGAGTTAGAGTTTAAAGACTGTGCAAAAAGGCTCTGAAGTAAGAAAGCAAATGCAATCTATGAAAAAATATATAGATAGAACTTTTTACCCTATGGTGATGATTCATGTATTTAATGAAAAGTAAAACCCAAAGAAAAATTTGGGTTGTGAATCTGAAAACACTATAATGCCAGGTTAAGAGGACCAGATCTAGTAGAAAGACAGTGCGAACCACAAATGATAAAATATTATTTCAGAAAAAGGAATCAGTATTATGCAAATGAATCATCATAAACAAGCTGGAATCAGGAGTAAAGGAGAATCCATTATCTTCAAAATTAATAGCCTCACATCTGATTTTAAGGAGCCCAGAATGACTGCTTTCATGTCATACTGTTAGATTGATTAATTAAATATGCATTCAAATGCTTTCTCACTTCTATTTATTTCCCCTTGGAACTCAGCTTGCCCTGTAATTTGATCTAATCAATACATCATAGTTTGTTTACTATCTAGAAAATGACTCTCCATGTATTTTTACCAAAGTTTCCATATTGATCATGAAATCTAAGTGAATAAATAATAGATAAAAAAGGAAAAAAATCAAGTATATCACCAAACAAGGGTGCCTACACATGATGTCATGTGTTTATGAATGTGTGCATGTGCCTCATGTATTGTGTAAAACTGTGCAGAAACCTGTAATTACAAAAACCTTTGTATGCTGTAAATCAAGCCAATATCCCATGATTCTCTATCGAATCCTTTCTTCCATTCTTATGTTTACTTTTCGATTCTCTTTATTTTTCAAATATCTGGGCTTGTACAACCATACTCTAAGATAGTCTAGAGGTAAATCTGTCACTTCAGTTCTAAGTATGCGTATGTTATTGTTTCTCAGAAATGTCATTTTTCTGGATATGTATTCATGTTTCACATATCAGCTTAAAGAGGAATGCTTAAATTTTCTAAACTGAAAGCAGATAAATACTATGATTCAAGCACAAAGAATTATCAGTTGGTACCTAGAGTTCATTATCTCAGCACTGAATTCTAATAACAGCTTTTGGGGAAAATATTTATGTTTATTTTGGAGAAACAGAGAGAGAGAAGGGAGAGAGGGAAAGAGGGAGAGATTGCCTATCCATTGGTAAACTCACCAAATGTCTTGGGCTGGGGGCCAGGCTGGAACCAGGAGCTACACACTCGATATAGGTCTCCCATGTGATCAGCAGGGATTCAACTCCTTGAGCCATCAGCTGCTTCTTCACAGGGTACACAGTAGCACCTAGAATCAAGAGGGAAGCTGGGACTTGAACCCAGGCACTCTTACAGGGAATTTAGGCACCCCAAGAACAGACATAACTGCTAGGCCAAATGCCTCTCTTCTTCTTCTTCTTCTTCTTTTTTTTTTTTTTTTTTTTTTACAGGCAGAGTGGACAGTGAGAGAGAGAAAGACGGAGAGAAAGGTCTTCCTTTTCCCTTGGTTCACCCCCCAGTGGCTGCCGTGGCCGGCACACCACACTGATCTGAAGCCAGGAGCCAGGTGCTTCTCCTGGTCTCCCATGTGGGTGCAGGGCCCAAGGACCTGGGCCATCCTCCACTGCACTCCCGGGCCACAGCAGAGAGCTGGACTGGAAGAGGAGAAACTAGGACAGAATCCGGCACCCCGACCGGGACTAGAACCCGGTGTTCCCGGGCTGCAGGCGGAGGATTAGCCTATTGAGCCACGGCGCTGGCCCAAATGCCTCTCTTCTAACAACAATTATTGTACAGCGATGGATCCATGGGAGTACAGGAACCTTCAGCACTGCAGCAGACCCCAATTCATCATATTAAAGCAATATGCAGCCACCTCCTCCTTCTCAGTGAATGAAAATGAGGTGGGAAGGCTGTCTAATTGTACAGGAGGCCTAGGTTCTACTCTCCACTCATCTCCTTAGAATAGGCTAAGGTTTTGACTTGGTTTTCTCAGTTGTATAGCAAAGTGCATGTTTCCCATCTGAGTGCTCATTATTCCAAAATAGGAAACTTTCTACTCATGGAAGAACAGGTAAAAATGCTGTAAGCTGTTACTGTGGCTGTTGGAGCACACATCTTGACCACCAAGGCTGTGTAGAATGAGTATCTTGGGTTGGCATAGTTGCTAATGTATTTTTCCTTTCTCTGAAGATGACCTAGACATTCTATGCAATGGGTGAAAGAGAGTAGTATCACCTAGATTAAAAACTATTGAGGTACAAGTAGAAATTTAAGGGAAAAACACACCATGGAGGCTAATTGACTATTTGTAAGATCACAGAAGTTGCTTTCCTAAAATTCACAATCCTTTACATGGAGTTAATTCACCTTCACAATTTTTGGCAGTTATCCTTGATGAGCTTGTGAGCTCAGTGCATTTTAGGATAATCTGCTTCGTGACCTGGAATGAGAGAAATGTAAATAATCTAATATGCAAGGGCAGATATCTCTGTCTAAGGATATGCTGGTGTATGTGACATTAATCTATAGTAGCATTTGTAGGAAACAGAAATGAACTTGAGTTTAGTTTTGAGCACTTTATTGTGAGCACTAAAATTAGCAATGCCAGGCTAAAGAAACCCACTAGAATGGAAAATAGAGGGGCCAGCACTGTGGCATACCAGGTAAAGCTGCCTCCTGCGGTACCAGCATGACATATGGGCGCTGGTTCAAGTCCCAGCTGCTCCACTTCCAATCAAGCTCTCTGCTAATGTGCCTCGGAAAGCAGCAGAAGATGGTTCAAGTCCTTGGGCCCCTGCACCTACTTGGGAGACCCAGAAGAATCTCCTGGTTCCTGGCTTCCTATTGGCCCAGCTCCATTTGGGGAGTAAACCAGCAGATGGAAGATCTCTCTCTTTCTATCTGTCTCTGCCTCTCTGTAACTCTATTTTTCTAATAAATAAATAAATCTTTAAAAAATGCAAAAGAGAAGTATAGCAGGAACTCAAGCTATTTACATTTAGGGTTTTCAAACTGTATTTACTTATTTTCTGTAACCCCACAATTTTGTTCAAGTAGTATGGGGAAATTGTTATGTAACACTCATGTTTCAGAATCAGCTGTTTTGAAGAAGCCAGCCCATGTTGGATGGTAATCTCTTTGAGGTCAATCAGAAAATCCGAATTCCAAATCCTGAGAAATGGATATTGAATGTCTAGGCTCAGATTTTTGCAGCTTTTTTGTGGGTATATGATTCTGTACTGACACCACCACCAAGTATCCAACCCTATGAATTAGGAAGGTGTTATGGAATTAATAGGAAAAAATAGTGTCCATGGTTTTAACAAGGAAGTCAAGCCAAAGGGCTCCCCTGTTGGTCACTAGTGGAGAAGACCTAGAGAATGACCTCCAGTGAAATGACATCAGGATCACATTCTGACTATCATTATTCTAGTAATATTTTGATGCCTTTTTCATTTATCACTAAAGTTTCAGTCACACAGAAGTGACCTATTTGATTTCTAGCTGAGAAAGCATGTAATTAAATAATACCCTTGGGCTCGTTCTACTTTCCTGCTTTATCATGAAATAAGAAAAAAAGGTCTCTCGAAGGAGAATTAAGGAAATGCTGATACAAAGCAAATGATGGTTTAGTTTTGCCTTCAAGGGCAATCCTCTTTCTACAAAATAAGTGATTGCAATGTATTGAAGGATTTTGGGAAAAATAAGAAAACAAATGCCTAAGCATTATGAATGTTGCAATATAAGGTGATTTCTTTAAACTGAGTCTATTCCAAGAGAATAAAAAGCACTTTTAGGTTATCTTCCATTGATGCTACTAATCACTATTATTATCACAATAGCTATCATATGTCTTATCAATAAAAGCAGCATTTCTAAACTACAGATTAGATTCTTGAAATCACCCCCAAAATTATGACATTTTAAGAAACTTATTTTAAACTTCTAATATACTATTATTAAAACAGAAGCTATTTAGAAACACAAAATGAAAGGAAACATTTAAACAAAAGTTGAAAGTTTAAAGACTGTGGTACTCTCAATAAACATCAAGTGGAAACCTTATTTTAATTTAGTCTTTCTTGTAGTTTCTATCTTTGGTAGACACTTGAAGAAGATGTACAAAATCGAAGAGAATTATAGTAGACAAAATCCCCCACAAAACTATCCTTATGAAGATTTTAATTATAAGGCGATAAAAATATTGAATTCAAAGCCACCTTAAGGAAAGAGTCAGAAGGATTTTATAATAAGCATAACAATTTCTATATACAAAGTTTTGTGTACAAAGTTTCCATGTACAAAGTTTTGTGCATACTGGCTAATTAGTTTTTAAAAAGATTTATTTAATCTTATTTGTCAGGCAAATAAACAGATAAAAAGAGCTCCAATCTGCTGGTTCACTACCCAAATGCTCCCAGTGGCCAGGGCTGGGCTGGTGCTGGAGCTAGGAACCAGGAACTCAATCTGGTTTTCCCACTATGGTGGCAAGAATTCCATTACTTCAGCCACACTGCTGGCTCCTGTGGTCTGCATCAGCAGGAAGCCTGAGTCAGGAGAAAGAAGCAGGGAGGAAACCCAGGTTCTACAAGATGGAACGCAGTCTTTGGAATTCAACAATGGCTTAAACACTAGGGTGAACATTGCAATTTTAAAAGTGCTAGAATTGAAATTAAAATTGAAGGTATCCTTGATCGTATTGATTATTCTATCTGATAAGAAGTGGATTAGTTAATATTCAAATGTACTAAAAATATTTAATTCATATATCACATAGCTAAGAATTTGTAAATCACCTACTTTGAGGAAGTCATTGGAACAGATAAGTTCTAATTAAAAAATTAAATTATTTAAAAATTATTGTATAAACCAGTCCTATCACACATGTTAATTTTTATTAGGATAGTATTATACTTAACAATATATCACAAAATAAATACTAATAAGACAAGTAATACTTTATTACTTTGTCAATATTTACTGACATCTCCTAGTTATGTCAAGTGATAGATCCTAGTAAGAAATCAAAAGTCATAAAATGATAAAATATCTAATGTATGCAATACATAAAATTTTACAAAAAGTCTAGCAAATAAAAGTACAATTCAGGGTGAAGACTGATGTGTTTACATAGTTATACTTAGAAGAATGAAAGCCTAATTTTTATTTATTAAGGGAGAATATTTGGCTTTTTTCTGTTGGTCTTATGTTGGAAGTGGGGGAAAAGATTAGGGTATCTCTGTCATTGATTAAATAGGGTTTGTTTTTTGCTGATTGCTATAGAATCTGTGGTTTGATGTCTTAGATATGTTACTGCAAATTGTGCAAATTTTTATATAGAATCTAGGTATTTTTGTCTATATATTCAGTCTCTCATTAATTTGGTAAGATGTACAAATATAAACATATAAATATTTATAAATATTCATAGCAATTAACTTTTTTAATATACTCATCTTTTATTTCTATTTTCCACAAACATTTTTCCCTCTTTATTTGAATGTAGAGGAGTATAGAGAGACAGAGACAGGCAGGTAGAAAGCTTCCATCTGTTCCTTCACACCCCAAGAGCCCACAACAGCTAGAGCTGACTAGGCCAAAGCTGGGAGTAAAAGAATCCATGTGGGTCTCCCCCAGGAGTGGCAGAGGCTCGGGAACTTGGGCTATCACCACTGCCTCATAGGGCGTACAATAGAGGAAGCTGGATGGCAGTGGAGCCAGAACTTGAACTCAGACACTGGGATATGGGATGTGGGCATCTCAGGCAGCATCTTGACTGCTCTGCAGAATGTCTGCCCACAGAACTATTACCACGAACATCATAGGCATCAGTTACTTATCATCCAGATGGTTCAGTGTTCAGAAACAAGCATCCACTTTATGGGGAAGAAAATAAATCAATTAAAATAAATATATTTAATCAGAAATATTGAAAATTGAGTATATTTGTGTCTCTGAGCTTGTAAAAAAAGGGACAGAAAATATGTAGAGATAATCATGGGATTATTTGTATTCTTTTGGTCAAAGAAATGAGGTAACTCAGTAAGTGTAGAGATGTTAATTATTAAATACTAGAGCTAAGATGCAAGTAAATTTTGAATTTGTTATTGTGCTCTGCTCATTACCCTCCTCCTAACACTATGATAATAAAGGCAGATGAAGTGACCAGAATATATGGCTGGAATGACTTTTCACTTACTTCTTCAAGAAAGCTCTAGGGAACATTTAAGGAAACTATAAGGATAAAAACAATTTGGTGGAGTCGTAAAAAGTTAAGAAGTTACCTTGAATGTTTATATTAGAGCTACTGTAATTTGAGAATCTAGCATTGCTTGTAAATCACTATTTAAGTTGTGGATATGATTATCTATTTCTAGAGAGAGACTTCCCTGTTTATTCATTGGCATTGGTACCTAAAATTTAAAAAGAATTGAGAAGTTGAGAAGGTTCACTCTCCTTGTTTACCATGCAAGTTGGTTTGAGGTCTGGAAAATTTACCTAGCCAGTTACTTGGATTGCCCTCCCTGTCCAGGTTTCGCATACAGATATGTCAGTGGTAGTGAAGAATCAGTAATGCCATCAAGTGTTTGTTATACCTTTATAGTATGAATACTCCAAACGGTTAAATCAACACTGAATGTTACACAAGAATCAAGTCTATCTACTATCATGATATTGCAGATAAGATCTCCATCCTTACCTTATATTTCTTATTGAAAAATAGACATATATACACATAACTTTCATAAAAGATTAAAAGTTAGTAAGGCTGCAAATGTGAAAAAAGTAACTCGTTTTCAGAGCAGGCAGCATGTGTTTTTAACTTGGGTAAAAGATTTCATGGATTAAAATGACTTTAAAGTAGGGTTAACACTGAACTGGAGGTGTAAGAAAGAAATAAGTTGATATTTGGGAAAATAGGATAAGGGCCTGAAGAAAGACTTTTTTAAGAAGAAAATCTTGTGATCAAAAGCAGATGCTATGAGCTTGTTAGGAAGGGATAAAGATTCTTTCATACCCCAATGGGATAATTTAGTACACTTTAATGGTAGGGAAGACTGGAAAATGAATTCCATCAGGGCAATCTCTTATGGTTTTAGTACTGTTGAAGTGAACTGATTTTACAAAGCTTTTTTGTTATTATACATTTACATGGTGCCCTCTGCTATCCACCTGTCTAACTTGCGGGAACAGAATGCAACTGCACAGGAAATTATACAATGGGCAGAAGTGCATACAAGTCATCACAAACATACACTTCACTGTAACAAAGCTACTGCAAATGAATATCTTCCTATTTTATATTTAAAATAATATTAACAAGACCTATTTTCTATGGGATGATTTTATACTTTTGATTTAAATGCAGCTTTAATTGTTTGCATTGTTTCACACTAGGAAAAATACAAAAGTTTCAAATCCTTGATTACCCTAATTTTCCAGGCTCCTTGCCCTGTGCTATCCTTAAAGGACACACAGTGAAAAGTGCACCCTGTTGTCATGAAATAACCCTGTTGCTGGAGCTACTGCTGTCAGAGTGAGGTCATCTTGAATTATTTTGCCAGGTTTTCATTCTGGGTGAGTCAGTTTAATAACCATCATTATGGAAACAAAATATAATTACAAAAACTATTGTTTTGGTAATTGATTTTCAGCAAAATCAGCTAATGATCAGATTCTATTCAAGTTGCAGTTTGCATTTCTCATTTTATGAAAAAAAAAGTTCCAAAAGTAGAAAATATTAAAAAAGAAGCTTTATACTTTAAATAAATGTCACTGAATATCTTACAAATTATATTTTTAAAATGAAGTATAGCTGTTCAAGAGCTGGGAAGCAAACTAAGATTATTATATTACTACATTTGTTCTAGAGTGTATTACAAACAACAAAGATTTTTAGAATTTCAGTTTATAGGCCTACCTAGATTATTTTTGATTAACATGTCATGTTGCGACTCTAGTTAAATGAGGAAAATTACTTTAAATTTTCACTATCAAGTATCAGCTCCTTGTCTTTTGTTGGGGCCTAGTAATTAAATTCCCTCCTGTAACACATAGTCTTTGATGCTTTCAAGTCATACTGACAACTCTCTGTACTTTATTTGCAATGACTAATGTGTTTTTTGGAAAATGTTTTGAACATTGCTTTTCTTAAAGGAGAGCATCATTCGCCGTAAGTCATACGTCAATATGAAGGTAACATAGCTGAAGACTTTAACAAATAAGAGGTAGTCCATGGAGACGTCTTCCAGGGTAGATATGTACACAAGTGGAACAAAGACTTTCCTCTTTCATGATTCCGTCTCAAATGAAACATTCTAATCTCCCTCATATAATTAAAACCACCTTCTCTTGAAATTCTAATATAAAAATGAACATATTTTGACACAGGCTCATTTTTCCTAACATAAGAATACAAGAAAACTTGCCTTGTGCATGTCCAATACATGATCCTCTTCTTGCTTTTGTTTTTGTTGTATCTCTGTAAAATTATACTTTGCAACACAGTTATATCCATATTGAATCCCATGCCTTTTTCCAGAGAGGAGGAATATATACAGTGTTTTCTTAAAGGATATCTGTAATGGGAACCTAGAGGAAATGAAATAATTTTGTAATTCCCTATACTGTATTATCAGGAGGCATTAAAAGAAGAATCCTCAATGAAATCATTGGCTTAGTCTTTCAAAAGTCATAAATTTAATTATAACTACATTTTTCTATCAATACCAGAATCTGATGACACAAGCAGGCAGGTGTGATGATTCAACAGTCCCCATATTGTGCATTTTCATGTCTCCTTATGGTGATAAATTTCTCTGAAGTCAAAAATACAGGTTTTCTTTGGTTTGGTGGCAGCTGATAGAATTGCTGTCACCTAAACCCACCTCTAAGGGTAGTGCCTTTCCATGAGGGAATGAAAAATGATTTGCTTCAAAACTGGCAACATTCTACTTCCTGGGATCCAAAAGAAATTCTGGGAAATCCAAAACAAAATTTGGAAGGTAGGGTACAGGGATAAGTTAACCACTATTTCACATTCACTTTCACACTTGGAGCATGTCTTGATTTTGTCATTAGCAGCTGGGCAATGTTCAACATGCTACAGCACAGGAATAACTATGACTGGTCGCACGTTACAGAGGTCATCATCTCTATTATTTCCTTTGTTGTGTCTAAAACATTCAACACTTTAGCAGCAATTTATTTTATTTCTATCCTCAGACATCTAACACTTTTTTCCCCTTCCAGATTCCTTTTTTTTTAGAAATTTTTTATTTAATAAATATAAATTTTTAAAGTACAACTTCTGCATTATAGCAGATTTTCCCCCCATAGCCACCCTTCCACCTGCAGCCCATCCCATCTCTTACTCCCTCTCCTATCATTGACTCATTTTTGCTATTCCTACTTTGTAAGGAAAAGGAAAAATATCCACAGAAAATTTCGGTAAATTCCCTCCAACACAAATAATCTCCTTCATCGTGCCTGTGCTTTTGTTCTCTGTCCTCCTCTGTGCACCTTTATGAGGTTTCTTCTCTTTACACAGCACACGGCCTCCCCTGGTCACACTTCCCTTCCTCACTCTATCCATCCCTTACTCCATTTTAAAGTGATTAATTCAGATTTCTCCTTTCTTACATTATCATACTTTCATGCTTTTTTTCTCTCTCCACTGGAATGAATTTTACCATCAACAAGCATACATTATATTCCTTCCACCTTAGTAAAATCTTGTGATTCAGTATTTGTCTTTCCTACTTGGAAGAGCTCTCTGTAGTTGTTGTCTTCCCAACTCTCTCACTTTTATTGAGTCTTTATGCCACAATTTAGCCTCTATACCACAAGTCAGTAAAATTTTTATTTAATAAATCCTTTGACCAGTTTCTCCCTATTAAAATATTTTATTTGCTAGCATTTGAATACTACATTTCTCCCTCTCCTGGTTCCTGTCTTTAAAACATTTGACTGTGTAAGGTTCTCTTCTTTTTTGTTTTTTAAAATATTTGAAAGAGCTACACAGAGAGCGGAAAAGAGAGAGAGAGGAAATCTTCCACCTGCTGATTCACTCTCTACATAGCCGCAACATTGAGGGCTAGGCCAGGCTGAAGCCTGGAGCCAGGAGGTTCTTCTGGGTCTTCTACATCAGTTGAAGTGGTTCAAGTACCTGGGCCATCTTCTGCTGCTTTCCCAGGCCAGTAACAGAGAGCTGGATGGGAAATGGAGCAACTGGGAGTGAACTAGCACCCATACAGGATGCAGCAATGAAGGTGGTGGCCTTACCTGCTACCCTACCATGCCGGCCCCGTTCTCTTTTCTATACAAGTGTAGTCTCTGCTGCTCTCCTCTAGTCTTGTACTGAAATTAAACTCCATCCATTTATAGACCACTCTCAAATTCATATCTGCATCTTGATCTCCCATTGAAATCCTGACTTCCATATGCAGCTGCTTACTCTTTCTCTACATCTGATTTCCTAATAAGTATTTCAAATTTATACATCCAGTGTTGGACTTCTGATATCCTCACTGTGGTCTTCCTCATCCCAGTGAATGCTAAACCCTTCCTTCCCCACACATAATTGAACTCTGCATCTCTGCTTCTCTTTCATCTGACCTTCATAATGCAGAAAAATCCCATTAGGTCTCCTCAACAACCCAACCACCTCATCTTCCCTTTCAATCATCAGGCCGTGGCTCCAAGCTATCATTTTCCCTCAAATGTGTTACTACAGTAGCCTCACCTCCCTGTTTCTGTCTATCATCTCCATGTGGAGCCAGTATTTCACTGTTAGGGTATTTCACTCTGTTAAAATCACATGAAAGACTTTTTAATCTCACTCATAGTGAAAACTTACATCCTTACAAATACCGAAAATATTTTGGGATCTGATACCTTTTCATATAATTCTCTCTTCATCATCTAAAAGTCAACCCAGCACCTCTCCCTACTAGGCTACATATATCCTCCATGCTTTATGAAACATGCCAGACATTCTTCAAGGGATTTCACCCAGTTGTTTCCTCCTGTTGGGACGTTCTGCCTAAGATACCTTTATTTCTGAAGTCTTCATCTACTTTAGATTTTTATTCAAATCTCATCTTTTAAGTGGCACCTACTCTGACTTTTCAGTGTAAAATATGACCTCCTCCTAACCACAGACTTTCTATTCCTTTTCCCTGCTTTTAATAATAACATTTATTCTAGATAAAATTTTGTGTTTAATATATTTGCTATTTCTAGCTTTCTGACTCTCTCTCCCTCTTTAATGAATAGAATATAAGATCCAAGAGGATGAGACCTTTATTTTTTAAGCTCAACTCTTTGTATAGATAAATAGATGCAGATACAGATTGTTTGAATCAATCACTACCCATCTCAAAGAGTTGTTAAAAATTAGAAAATATAATGTTTATGAATCAAACTTCAGTAAATATTTTCTATGGCAAGAGATTCCTTGAAATCTGAACAACATAATCACCCTACAGGATATAGAAGTGGACATTTAAATTCAATGAGAAAAAGTACATTAATCTCCATTGTCAGTACTTAATGAATAACTAGGAGAGTGAATAGCAGACTTGTTTATCTTCCTATTTACATAAACAGAGGGTAATTTCGATGTAATTGGACAGTTTACAAGTTGCTGCTCAGATTGGATATTTAGATGAATATTTTTCTAAAATAATTATACTCCTATATTCTCATAAATTAAACATTGCAATATGGAAGTATATGCTATTTTAATTTGGTTTTATAGCTAGTAAATATAAATTTTATAGCAGAAGATTAACATTACTAAAGTTTATTTCTAGTTTTTATTACTTAATGTCAGTGACTTGTGATCAAAAATATTCTATAATTAAATGAAATATTTAAGTCTTCAGTTTAAACATGGTATCATCCATTTTCACTCAAACAACCATCCTATAAAGATTATTTTAAGTATTTACTAGCTTTTGTACATTTTAACATTATGAACTAGAAAATAAAACATTTTTTCAGATGAATGCTCCATATTTTTACACCAGTTAATGGTGACAAATGCTGAAATAGATAACAACTCATCAATATGAGGTTGGAGAGATGCGATATGCTACTGAATTATCTCTCTAGAAAACTAAAATATGTGATATAGTGATTATATTTTGCTTCACAAATGTTTTGTTCAGTAACTTTTTAAGGAATTTCCATAATGAAAAATAAATACTTAAACTCTTACTAATTTATTTTTTAAAGACTTATTTTGATTTATTTGAAAGGCAGAGTTACAGAGGGTGAGAAGAAAAGACAGAGAGATCTTCCATTTATTTGTTGGTTCACTCTCCAAATGGTTGCAATGACCAGGGCACGGCCAGACCAAAGCCAAGAGCCAGGAGCTTCTACCAGGTAACCCACATGAGTGTCGGAGCCCAGGGACTTGGGCCATCTCCTGCTGCTTTCCAAGGGACGTTAGCAGGAAACTGGATCCAAAGTGAAGCAGAAAGGACTTGAACCGGTGGCCATATGGGATGCCAGCAGTGCAGGCTGTGGCTTTACCTGCTGTCCCAGAGCACCGGCCCCTTCCTAAACTATTTAAACTTTTAAAATTATTTTCTAATACATATTTTGATGAAATTCTGGGTCTGTTATTTTAAGCATTTTTAGTTGAGATATATACCTCAAACCTCACAGTCTCTACTCTGAGATTTGATACATTTAGAATGATTAACAGTATTTAATATGGTTTGTTGAAGTTTTTAAAAAGGCTATTTTTAATATAGTAAAAATAAAATTTTTGAAGAATGATAACATATAGGTATTGTCTTTCTTCTTTTTGATAAAAATATACTGAGTAACATATTGAACAATCAATAAGTATTAGATTAGTAAAACTTAGTTGCGTTATTTAATGCATCATCTGCTATCTTGAATAGATTAATTGCTAAGTAAAGAACAAACTATTTGCCATCTTGTAAAAGTATACCAGCTTTAAAAAAAATGAGATTTATTTATTTTAATTAATAATGTTATGAACTATGTAATGGCAACACAGACAAATTTTCTTTTACTATGAACAGAAACAAAAAAGAAAATCAACTTTTAGTAGAAAATAAAAATATTGGTACATCTTGAAAATCCAGAAACGGAATAAATAAATGCTTCCGTTATGTATTAGATCTAGAAAGAAGTCCTGGAGGCTTCAGGACTGAACCATGTAGTCCCAAAGTTAATGAATAAGAGCTACGGAGAAAATGTTTTCTCACCTGGGGGCCGGCACTCTGGCACAGTGGGTTAAAGCCCTGGCCTGAAGCACTGGCATCCCATATGGTTGCCGGGACTAGTCCCATCTGATCCTCTTCCAATCCAGCTCTCTGCTATGGCCTGGGAAAGCAAAAGATGGCCCAAGTCCTTGGCTTCCTGCAACTGCATGGGAGACCTGGAAGAAGCACCTGGCTCCTGGCTTCTGATGGGCGCAGCTCTGGCTGTTGTGGCCATCTGGGGAGTGAACCAGCAGATGGAAGACCTCTCTCTCTGTCTCTACCTCTTTCTGTAACTTTGTCTTTCAATGTATCTTTTCATATATTACAATTCAGACATTCTCTGTAATGCATTGCCACAGTACCACATCTAGAAACGGGCTGAAATAACTCTTCCAATATCTCTTTCTGGTGTCTTTTTTTCAAAGTGTAAGTGTTTCCCAAACAGGCAATGACTTTTTCAAAATCATCCTCTGACTTTCATGTATGGCGGGAGAAGAAGACATGGTCTGCTGATATATCATAATTCTAATATTCAAATTAAAGCATGTATGATGCTTCTGTTTGAAAAACTATGTAAAAAAACCTAAATGACCAAGCAAACTATAAGCACACGTAAGTATAATTTCAATTTTTCCACAAAGAAATCTAGCCAGCACTCTTAAGTTGGAGCACCAAAGAAGCACCAACTATATACAGTTTTAAAATATATTATCCCAAGTACTAAGGGAAACAATATGCCATATCTTACCATTTTCTGTAAATAGAAAGGCGATATCACTCATATCTTTTATAGTGTTGATAGCAATATCTCAAAAAATATACGTATAATAATCATGTTGCTTAAAATATGTGTACATTTGATCAATTTGTAGATAAATCAAAGCATGTATTCTAACCAAGTAGATTTTAAACCTGAAAAGTATGAATAATGCAATATTAATAAAACTGTTAATATACTTATGGATATTAACAGAATGTTATTCTTTTCATGCTAAAAACAATATATACAAACAAAATATTTTTCCTGTAGTAATCCTGTTATTTAATATCAAAATATAGAACCATTTTAATTCTAATAAAAATTAATATCAAAACTACAATTCTACTTACTGGAGATTTTATTCAATATTTTACTGGTGATTCTAGGCAATATAACAAAGATAAGAAAATGTTAAAAGTTAAACATTATAATGCAAAAATAATATTTGTAAAATTATTTTTATCAATAAAATTATTGTTTACATTGACATTTACTATATCTAACAGTATTCTGGAAGTATAGATTGTTGTGTACCACTAAATAAAAGTTATCAATGTTCTTTCAAAATAACAAATGACATAGAAATAAACAACAGAAACAAAGCAGATATAAAGTCCACAACTTGATTAGAGTTAAAAAATTATCCTATGAAGAAAATAAAACATAAGTGAGTAATAATTTATTATTCCTGGTAACTTGTAATTTGCAATTCTCAATCATTCTCATCAATTGAAAAACCTAGTAACTTTCACCAATCTGTATAGAAAGGGACTTTGCCAAAGCTAGTTCTTTATTATAGATAGGTAAGTGCATGGTTAGGTTATACAACATGGGCAAGGAGGAAATTCATTATTTGTAGAATAATGATTATTTCTTTAATGGGAGAAAGAGGAAAGGGATTGGTTTGTCAAATAGTGGAGACATAGAAGAATTAAACAGCATTATCAGCAAGATAGATTTAAAGATATGTACTGGATTTACACACTGTAAACAGAGAACATGTTGCTTTTTCAAAAGTCCCTCAGCATTTACACATGATTTTATATTGGATGACAGAGAACATCAGCATATTTTATGAAATAGAAACAAATCACTCCCTGATCACAAAGCAATGTAAGTGAGAATCATCAATAAAATACCAAAGATATTTCTGTTAGAAAATTAGATAGCACATTTTATTTTTTTTAAATTTCTTAAGTAAAAAGAGGTGCAAATTCACCCTTCCCCTCAAGCACATAGTTATAATGGCCATTCTCTCAAGTATGCAAAGGGAAGATATTGTTTGAAACATAGGCAATAAAAAAGTCTATTCAAACCATTTTAAAATATTAAAAACAGATTGGGTAATAATACTCTAAGCCAAAACCATTTCTGCATATAAATGAAACTATTCTAAAAAACATCAAAATGGAAAATATCTGCTGTTTATAAACAGGATGAATCAGGAATATATAGCATTAAAGAAAGGGATGAAAATTTTATTCAATACTCTAAATTGCTTAATTTAGATAATTGTGCTAACAGATATTACAAGGAAAATTTTGTGACAAACTTAAGGGCTATTTTTCATAATTGTTTTATAAAATTCACCACCTCCTGTTTCTCAGCAATTTGAATGCCAAACAAACAAACAAACTGTAGAGAAGTCATTTTTTTTTACTGCTCAAAAATATGAAGGACATTCACACAACTTTGATAAACAAAGGAAAACTATGCTCTGTTCCACAGAAAGAGCAGACAAAGCTTCCAGTTGCAAGAACTGTAATTAAAAGTCAAAGCCTCAAAAATCAGTTTATTCATTCTTCTTGGGATATCTGCTTGTAAGACTCTTGGTAAGCAATGCTATGAAACTGCAGAGATATTATGCTACGCGCACATACATGCACACAATGCTCCATATATGTGCATGTACTATCATAAAATTATATACACCTAATTACAGGTTACCTGGCTATTTAAAAAAAAATGCTAAGGGATTTAAAGGGAGACGTAGATTCTAATACAGTAGTAATGAATGACTTCAGTACCCCACTTTCAGCTATGGGCAGATCAACCAGACAGAAAATCATGAAGGAAACAGCAGAGTTAATAAACACTATCGACCAAATAGAGCTAACAGATATCTACAGAACTTTTCAACTTACAGTTGCAGAATACATTCTCACCAGTGCATGGAATTTTCTGAAGGATTGACCACATAATAGGCCGTAAGTCTCATCAAATTCAAAAAAGTCAAAATCATACTATGCATCATGGTGGACCACAGAGGAATAAAGCTGGAAATCAACAATTTAGGAATCTCTAGAACATATGCAAACACATGGAGACTAAACAACATGCTCCTGAATGAACAGTGGAACGTAGAAGAAATCAAAAGAGAAATAAAAAAAAAAATTCTGGAAACAAATGAAGTTGACAACACAAAATGTCAAAACTTATTGGATACAGCAAAATCAGTGTTAAGAAGAAAGTTTATAGAAATTGGGGCCTACATCAAGAAATTGGAAAGATACTAAATAAATGAGCTATCAATGCATCTCCAGGATCTAGAAAAACAACAGCAAACTAAATCCAAACTAATAGAAAAAAGAAATAATTAAAGTTGGAGAAAATGCTTTAAAAATGAAATAGTAACAAGAGGAACAGTACAAGTATTAATTTTAAAAGTTATTATTCCTAAGATGTACTGAGGGCTCCTGGGCACTGTGCTGCATCCTTTAAATAAAATACAATTTTAATTTTCAAAAATAAATAAGTCAGAGCTACAGAGAGAAAGGAAGAGACAAACAGACAGAGATCTTCCATTTGCTGGTTGATTCCCCCAGTTGGCTGCAAAAACCTGGTCTGAGCTAGTCTGAAGGCAGGAGCCTAGAACTTTATACTTTCTCCCACATCAGTGGCAAGGGCACAAATGCTAGGACCATTTTACAATGATTCCTAGACTCATTAGAAGGAAGCTGCATTTTTTTTTTGAAGATTTATTTATTTATTTTAAAGGTAGGTAACAGAGGCAGAAGCAGAGGCAGAGAGAGAGAGAGATCTGTCTTCCATACATTGGTTCACTCCCCAGATAGTCACAAAGGCTGGAGCTATGCCAATCTGAAACCAGGAGCCAGGAGCTTCTTCTGGGGCTCCCACAAAGGTGTAGGGGCTCAAGGACTTGGACCATCTTCTACTGCTTTCCAGTAGAGAGCTGGATTGGAAGTGGTTCAGCTGGGACTTGAATCAGTGCACATATGGGATGCCAGCACTGCAGGCTGTGGCTTTACCTGCTAAGTCACAGCACTGGTGTTAGGAAACTGGCACAGTTTTATCCATGGCGTGATCTACACCCTGACACCATCCTAGGCTGTAGCCCCCGCCGCCATTGCTGAAAGCCAGGTAGCCACATGGCCCAACTACCTGGGCCAAGCTCCACCCCCATCCTAATGGAATTTGCTGCTCCTGCTTCCCTGCCCGCCCTCTGGAAAAGTTTTTAAAGGACCTGTTCCTGAACACGTGGCTCTCTTGGCTCTTCTCTCCTGCTCTCTTGGCTCCTCTCGTCTCTCTTCTCTCTGCTCTCTCTTCTCTCCTCACTAGCTCCTCTCCTCTCTCTCTCTCTCTCTCTCTCTCTCATACTCTCTTTCTCTCTCTTATCCTTCTTCATCCCTCCCCTCCAGTCTGCTGGGTTTTCCCCAATAAACCCTTTCCCTTACTCTGGTGTTTGGTGTGGTTTGTGATGGCCTAACAGAAATACCTAACAACTGGCCCTAAGGAAGTTTCATTTGAAATGGAGCAGCCAGGTCTCAAACTGGCATTATGTTATGGGATGCCAGCATTTCAAGTGGCTGCTTAACCCACTGTGCCACCATGCCAGCCCCCAAGTCAAGACATTTTTTAAATTCGTATGTTGGCTTTTGTACATGTAAATATATAAATTAGTATGTAAATATATACTATAAATAAAATGTAAATATTTTAATATGAACTAAAGTGTAAACTAATAATATGGCTCTAAAAGTGAAAACAGAGAACTCAGAATGCTATCTTCACCTATCTTTTCAAATTTGCTGCCATTCAGTCTTCATACTAATTGATACTGTGATTTGGTTTATATTTTCTAGTGCTCATTTTGCAAAAGAACAATCACATTTGTACTTTTGTCACATTTTTCATTAAACAGGAATGGCTTGTTGTAGATATTCTACTTTGCTTAATTTGAAAATATAACCTGGGAAGCACTGTGTATCCAGTGATAGAGCTCTTCATCATGTTTTACATCTGCAAAATCTTCACTGTGTGGCTGTACACTCATATCTCACTCTTATTTATGGCCTACTGTTTTCTTTTTTAGTTACAAATAATGTTACATGAATCATTCTGCAAAAATATATTTTTAAGTTGTTTATGATGTATCTCTGTCCTAAATCTATAGAAATGAGCTTGCTGAGTCAGAAGTCCAAATCATTGCACTTTTGTTAGAGGTCCTGATTACATTCTCTTAGAAATGTATTTGAATAACTATTCATTCACTAATTCATTCTCAGACCATGTTCTCCTACAGTTTAATATTTTTACCAATCTGAGAAGTGAAAGATGAGAAATTCTATCACTATTGCAGGCAAGTTTGCAAGTCTCTAATTATGAGTTACATTAGTACTTTTTTTCCCCAAAGAAAGCTTTTATTTAATGAGTACAAATTTCATAAGAACAACTCTAGGAATATAGTGATTCTTCCCACCATATCTGCCCTCCCTTCCCTACTCTCACCCCACCACCATTTCTCCCTTCCCCACTTCTCACCCCACCACCCTCTCCCATTTCCAGTCCCATTCTCCATTAAGATTCATTCAATTAACTTTATACACAGAAGACCAACTCTATACTAAGCAAAGATTTCAACAATTTGTACACACACACACACACACACACACAAACTGTTTGAGAACAAATTTTACAGTTAATTTTCATAATACAACTCACTGAGGACAGAAGTCCTGCATGGAAAGTTAAGTGCACAGTGACTCCTGTTTTAACAATTAACACTCTTACATTACAACAGTACTTTTAAAAAATCTTGTTTCTGTGCTCCAGTTACCTCCAAGTCAGCCTGAAAGACAAATACTAATAATTCTTAACTTCTGGTATTGTGTAAAAAAGGCGTTCATTGGGC